TTGTGGTGGGGGGGGGGGGGGGGAGGGGAGTAACTGTCAGTGTTTCACTTCAGTGTAAGGACTGAAAATGTATCTTAATGCAGAATAAAAAATTTGGGACTGACATATGTAGAGGAGGAAAATCCGTAACACAATCAACACAACAAAAATTATGTATTTCAACCTTGATTTGACCTCAGTGATGATTTCTCCTTTCCCTTTCCACTTTTTTGTATAATTTTGAAAAGCCACTTCACTGTACTTACATGAACAGAACTAATCAGGGTTTATGATAATGAAGCATGGTTAATTAATGTAACACATTAAAATAATTTCAGATATTAGCTTTACCATAATTTGTAAGACGTGGGTAGATTTATTTTAAAGGAAACAACATGCATGGAAATTTTGAAAAATCTGTGTGTGGGGTTTTTTTTTTTAAAAATCTGTTTGAGTAGTTCAACAAAACTGAAAGTTGGAGATATACCAGGGTGATTAGGGCACTAGACAGTAAAAATGCACGTGTTATAATGATGAGATACCATATATAAAATTCATGGGTTTTTTGAGGAGAAAATAAAGCAATTCTTAGACTTGCTAAACTGAGTTGTTAGTTTGTGTTCAGTTAGTATAAAAATGAATTGGGTGTGCAAAAAAAGCTTTGTAATCAAGAAGTTGCTGAAGATTTAAAAAAAGTGGGATTTATTTAGTAGTTGATAGGCATGAATGTTAATGTTGGGTAGGATAACTGATGTCTTTCAGAACAGACAGGAACAATATTGTTGAAAGGCAGAAAGCAGCTTTTGGGGATAGAGGACAGAACTGGAAACAAAACATAGTATTTGGAAGAACAAAAAAATAATTTTTGCTTTCCCAAATGTGACGGGCTCTGGATTTGAGGTGTTTTGTAAAAATTAGTGGATTATGATATTTTGTTATTTCTGTGAATATTTACAAATTGTGGAAGAGCTCTGGCTATTGCTAGCAAACATTTTAAAGACTGCACTGCAGTGCGGTCTGATAAATGCTGGTGTTGTGATCATGCTGATTACTTAGTGCCATTTTTGTAGGTGATACCAAGCGTGCATTAGAACTTAAGAAATGCCAGTGAAATTTTAAATTATGGAAACTTTGAAGATTTTTACGTGGGAAGTTTGGGTGGGTTTTACAGGAACAGCAAAAGACACTTCATGGCATTGTTGTTGGCAAAATTAAACCAAACCTGTGCTTCAGCAAGCAGCTTTCAAGATTGTGTTCCAGAGCATGAAGTTGTTAGTGCTTTTCTATATAATCATAGGAATTTGTTATGTATTGCCAGACTTCATGCATTAGGTCAGAAATATTCATGGTAAAACCTGTAATTTTTTGAATCTGTTTTGAAAAGTTAGAGCAAAAAGAGTCCAGCCCTTTTGAAGAATGAGGTTAAGGAAAAAAATTATTGCCAAAAATAGTTCTAGGAGTGCTCTAGTAGGGACTTAAATGGATTTTTCTGAAGTCATCTTATAGTTCTGTTTAGATTTAATGTCTTTTTGGAGATCTAACTGAACTATGCTGCTACTATTTTGCTTGGGGGGGGGGAGGGACCCTCCCTAAACTTTAGGTTTTTCAAAATATAATCTCAAAGTTGTGCTAAATATCAAATCTGCAAATGCAGAATTAAAAATAATCTGGCAATAACTTTTCCCCTGTTGTGTTTGCACAAGGAATGTCATGTTTTGTGATAGAATTGCAGCACAGATTTGGTAATGCATACTGTTGCACATATACATAGGGACTGATAAAAGGAATGATTTAAAAAAAATACTAACTGTACTTTGTCCTGTATAATGTGTAAAACATAGCATAGGCACCGCAGTGAAAACGTTGCTTTGAAGTCCTTTTAGTATGCAAATATTCTTTGTATTCATTTTAATTCTTGACTTCTTTTACAAATAGTGTTAACTCCAGATGGAGATACATATTCTTAAAAAAATAAAAAACATAACTGTATTATAAAAAGTAGATTAATGTAGCTAATTTTTTTTTTTATGCCACTGACTAGAGATGTTTCTGTAAGCTTTTTGCTTTCAGTGCTTAAATCCTCTTCAGGAGTATATAGACCAAAATATAGAGAGATGTTTTAATCTTTGTGAAATTGAAAGTAAAATACGTGGTCTGAAAATTCTCCCTAGCATACTTTCAGTAGTTGATCTGAGATTTTTTTCCCCTGAAAATAGCCTCAAACTGGTTATTTTTTGCTTTATTGAGGTCATGACCTAAATAAAATAAACATGTCGTGTCAGCTTAAAAAGCCCAATAAACTGTACATCATTGCCTGCTTCTTAGAACGTTAATAACACCATATAAAAATATATATATATTTTAAAAAAAAGTGACTATCATCTTGCATTTAAAAAAGAATGCTTGAACATCCATTAAATAAATTCTGAAACGTATCAAAGTGTTTTGCTGCATCAGCTGCTCCCCTGGGCCCAGTAAATCCAAACTTGTGGCGCCGTTTGGCCCGGCGTGGAGGTGGCAGGAGCGGGGCATGGGGGAGGGCTGTCCGGTGGGGCAGCAGGAGCCAGCCCGGCCCTGCGGGTGCGGGAGAGGCAGGGGGTAGAACACCCGGTTGTTCGTGGTTCCTTTCGGCAGTGCCTGGACGCGCAGCCTGTGTGCTGTTACTGCACAGCAGCAGCCAGCTGCGGGAGAAGGTGTTGCACTCTTGTGAGCCCTGGGAGGACTCTGCAGGGGGTGAAGGAAGAAAGTCATCAACCAGGCTCTTTCTGGCTGATAAATTTTTCTTGCAAAACCACTCCAATGTGAGCTTTATCCTATGTAAATGAAATCTTCATATCGCCACACTTTTAAAAAAAACTTTTAAAAACCGAACGTCGTTCAAAAACAACCACTTGGAGCTTCGTTTTATATGTTTCCGTTGAAGAACTGAGTTTGGCTTTTAGAATCAGAAAGTGATAACGATCGAAGCTGGTTTTGCCTTTTGTTAGCTAATTCTAGATAATGTCTCTAGAGGAATTATATACGTGGTGTGCACTTTTTTGGGGGAGATGATGTGGGACAAGAGGTGAATTCTCCGAACAGTTTGAATATGGAGACAAACCCTAATTCAGATTTTGCTCTTCTGTAGCTTTCTAGTGAGCATAAATAGGAAAGTATTTTTGAGGGATGTTCTGTGGAGGATGCCTGTATTTGCTGCTTACTAGCCTTGTGGCAGCTTAATGTAGATTCAGCTTTACTACTAACTCTGAACAAGGTGTTTGAGGCTAAGATACTAAGCAATGTTTGCCATAATACTAGTCAGACTGCTGCATACTTTAAGGTACCTGATGGGCGTATCACGTTAGAGTGTTGACAGAGTAAGCCCTATGTATCTGGGGCATCTGTCTTTCAGCATCAAGGCAGACAGAGGTCAATTAAAAAAAAAAAAAAATTAAAAATAGTGAGTTTTGCTGCTTTTACTGGCACTTGTAAAGAAATTGTAGTTAATTCATTTAACCAGTTTAATGAGGTGGTGTTTGAGAAGTAGCCATTTCAGTCAACCTTTTTTCTTCAAAATGTAGGTTATGCTAGAATTGTTGCTTTTTTTTTTTTATCATTTGCTTTATCCTTGCTTGCAGATTTTCTCTATTATTCTCTCTAGCATGTTAGTTTTAGCCTCTGACTGGGCAATTCTTATTCTTCTGTAGGTCTGAGCAGCCTCGTATAACCAAAGATGTAATTTGTTTTCATGCTGAAGACTTCTTAGAGGTAGTTCAGCGCATGCAATTAGATTTGCATGAGCCTCCACTCTCACAGGTAAGCGTGCTATGAACTGTTGATCAGGTGTCCTCTGAGTCCTAAAGCAGAGTTTTCACCCTTTTTTTTCTTCATTTTTTTCTCCAGTGTGTCCAGTGGGTTGATGATGCAAAACTTAATCAACTGCGAAGGGAAGGCATTCGATATGCTAGAATTCAGTTATTCGATAATGACATTTATTTTATCCCAAGGAATGTTGTGCACCAGTTCAAAACAGTTTCAGCTGTGTGCAGTTTGGCTTGGCACATCCGGCTCAAGCTATATCATTCAGAGGAAGAACTTTCTCAAAATACAAGTACTGTTGAAGCAGGGACATCTGCAGACCCCAAGTCTTCGGTTATTGGACTTCAGACTGACAGCAGAATTTGTATGATGAGCAAAAATACCTCCGAAGACACCAAATTTTCAGATGCTCTGCAGACCAAGTACCTGCAGC